TATATATATATATATATATATATATATATATATATATATACATATATAATGATCACTTCCTACCGATTATTGACCTACCTCTTGCTGACAGCTTGCACTAATAGCTGGTGATTTTAACCACACCCCACTTATTCCATGTATACCTCATTGACATTAGCATTGAACCAAATAGAAGAATCTCTCATCTGGATCGCATAATCCCAAGTCACACTGACATTTCTACCTCTGAGGCACCAGTGATCATAACCGGATTCTGGTCAGGACTAAGATTTACTCACACTCAGGACATTTTTCTTTTACTAGACAGAAACATATCATGCTCCATCAGCAAGATCTTTCCCCAGACAATATTGCTCTGCTAAGACAGTCTCTTAAAGTAATTACTGATTGTAAAATAATCCCATGGACAATGTAGACATTTCTAACAAACGTGTTTAACCGTGTTTGTGAAATATGTTGTCTTGTGATAACTTTGTTCCTTGAACATGGCAGAATATCGACTCCTTATATTAAGCATCTTCAGTGTGAAAGGAATGTCCATTTAAATGTGGCCGGAGGGCTGAAATACATCGACTATATTTTCTGATCAAGGGAGATAAGACCATTGAATTCCCTCTATGCAAGTTATTTGGGGGGTGGGGTGGGGAACGTCAAATCTATGCAATCAAACTACTCTTCAAGCAGAAGAAAGTGATAACCAGTTCTTCTAATAATATTGAACAACTGAATACTACACTTAATCATTCTTCGTCTGATACATGCCCCAGTTATGTTGACTCGAGTTCTCCGAAAATCCTATATTGGTTCCAACATATCCCTTCTAGTGAAATGTACAAGCACATACGTTCTCCCAAGGTGTCGACCAAATCATGTCCAGACAATCTAAGTCTTACACTTCTGTCTCACATTTTTGCACACAGCTAATCTTTCGCTCGAACTCCGAACTGGTCCGGATTGCTGTGCCCAGTGAGATATACTCGCATACCCAAAGGAGCGTCAAACGCCCCAATAGTGAAGTGTTTCAAGCTAATTGTTGTCACTTCCCCTGGTTTAAAATTGATGGAGCGATCAGTTCTGGATCACCTTCAGTTATCTCTCACCACCCCCGATGACATTTATCAGTTTGCA